TGATTTTCAAGGTTATTGTAGTGATAGCACAAGTCCCACCCTGATGAAATAATATCTTTAAGTTCTAGATGCTCAAGTGCAGCCAAGACTGGTCTCTGACCAATGACAATAAATCCAACAAGAAATCTGGGGAAAGGAAGGCTAAGCAAAAGGTCTTGGAAGTCAACGTATTTGTTAACTCTTGCAATCTCCCTCCATTACCCTCTTCTCTGCTACACACTGGCATGCAGAGTCAGTGTAAGGCTTATTTCTAGCTCCGTCTCTTTCACTGAGGAAATCCTAACAATCCCAAACAACGGTTCATTGTTGAAATTCAAAGTATAATCTTTATCCCTCTCCATTGCATTCCTCTTTCAGCAACTTAAAACTACTAATTTCATGTGCCTACACAGAGAAAGCAGTTGGTGGCAAGTGGTTGTTGTTTGAATAGTGTATTACATGACTGTATTAATATAGGTAACACAATTATTAAGTGCCACACACCTTGCGTAGAATTCAAGAGTTCTCGGGAAGCTTACTACCACTCACTTTTTGCAGATGAGGACACTGACGGCCAGAGAGGTTAAATAACTTCCCCAAATTTACACATCCAGGACGCTAGAAAGTACCTAGATAGTCTAGTTCTAGAGTCAAAGCTGTTAATTACTCAAACTTAAATCTCAACCTAGGGGCTGGTATTATGCTGATGACTCTAACACCAGCATCCCATATGGGTGCCAGTTCAAATCCCGGCTGCTCCACTTCTGATCCAGCTCCCTGCTGCTGATGTGCCTGGGAAGGCAGCAGAGAATGGCCTAAGTGGTTGGGTCCCTGCACCCACATGGGAGACCTGGAAGAAGCTCCTGGATTCTGCGTTCCCTGGCTCAGCCCTGGCCATTGCAGCCATTTGGAGAGTGAACCTGTGGATGGAAGACCTCTCTCTCTCTAATTCTGCCTTTCAAAATAAATCTTTAAAAAAAAAAAAAAAAGAAATCCCAACATAGTTACCCCTCCTTCATCTGTATGTTTTTACATGGATTAAAGAAAATATGAAAGGATATCATCAAATACTAAGCACATAGTAGGTAATCACCAAGTAGTAGTTCATTTAATTGTAATTTAAATGTATTTTTTAAGATTTATTTATTTGAAAGGCAGCTACAGAGAGGACACATGGACACACACATACACACATACACACACACACACACACAGAGGTATCTTTGAACCACTGGTTCACTCCTGAAATGACCACACTGACCAGAGCTGAGCCAGGCTGAAGCCAAGAGCCAGGAGCTTCTTTCAGGGCCCCAAGCACTTGGGCCATCTTCTGCTGCTTTCTCAGGCACATTATCAGGGAGCTGGAGCAGGAATGGAATATCTGGGACTGGAACCAGCACCCACATGTGATGGCAGCACTGCAGGCAGTGACTTTAACCTGCTGTGCCACAGCACCAGCCCCTTAAATGTATTTTAAAGATTTAGACATTTGGGGCCAGCGTCATGGAGCACTAGGTTAATCCTCCACCTGCAGCGCCAGCATCCCATATGGGTGCCGGTTCTAGTCCCGGTTGCTCCTCTTCCAGTCCAGCTCTCTGCTGTGGCCTGGGATAGCAGTGGAGGATGGCCCAAGTCTTAGAGCCCTTGCACCCTTGTGGGAGACTAGGAAGAAACTCCTGGCTCCTGGCTTCAGATCGGCATAGCTCTGGCCGTTGCAGCCATTTGGAGAGTGAACCAACGGAAGGAAGACCTTTCTCTCTGTCTCTCTCTCTGTCTGTAAACTCTACCTGTCAAATAAATTTTAAAAAATGATTTAGACAAGTCCTGCTTTCTCATTACATTCTTTGTTGACAATTGTGAAGTCTAACTTCAGTCCCCATAGAGTTAACTTTTTCTAACTAGTGACTAGGGCAAGCTGATGTCATTGCTGAGAAGTTCCCAAGGACATAAACCCTATATAATTCTGGTCCGACAATACGAACCCTACAGCTGCCAGTCCCAGCTGATTGCTTCTCTACAGACTCCCCTCCGTGCTTAAAGGTGCAATAATCCATCTAAAACTAACATACAAAACTTGCACCTAAAGAGTATGACACAAAGAGAACAGGAAGCTTCAGCCACACGGATTGTTTAAATTATTAGAAATGTCTTGATAAACTAACAGAGTCTGAAAGTGTTCGTTGTGGTTTTTAATCCCTTTGACTCCTTGCTACAGTCTGAAAACTTACAAAAAATACCATTCCTATACCATATCTTTGAACAGAGAAAAATCTTATTGAAGAGCCACATACTCTGACATCTTTAAAAAATATATAATATGGATACAAAAATACAACTTTTATATAAATCCTGAAATAGTGCCTCTCACCAGAAAATATCACCAAACACATCTACTGTGACTTATCATCAGTGAAAAAGACCAAAAGGACTTTCCAGGCTGTCAGCCTCCTAATAGAAAAAATCAAGGTAAGTGGGGTCGAGTTGTCCAATTTCAAATGAATTACAATGTCTACTAGAAGATAGCACTCTTGATACAAGAGGACTGAAAGCCCAATAACTTTTGGAAACAGAGCACCAGAAACAACTAAAGGTAAGTTTGTATATATTTTACGTTTATGTTGATGCTGCTTTTAATCATTCTCACTCATTTTCCTGAAATGCACGCAGTAGACACTAGGTTTTCTTTTTGTGCACTTGAAAACTTAACACCAAATTTCTTCTGCAGTTGGACACAGCTACATTTTCCAGAGCAATTTTTCTGTGGCTCCACATACCTAGAAAAAAAAATCATGATGAAAAAGACTTAGTTTAAAAGATGCATCCATATTACAAGAGGTGAGAATAGTAGTTTTCATTGCAGACTTGTTCTCAATCTGCACACCCTCTCCTGCCTGGGTAACAGAAATTTCAAATTTCCACTCTTGGTCAGTTCTTCAACTTTAATTTTGCAACCATGGAAACTGATGTAAATCATTAAAACTTAAAATAGTTTTTTGGGAGCAAAAGTTTTAAGTGAAGACTCTACAAAAAAATTTCTGAACAGTAAAATTACCTCATGGCTACATTATAGTGTTTCTCTATACACCTTAAAGCACTGGATACCAGGAATTTGAGAAGAAATAGAACGGGGCAGAAAAGATGCCTTCTTTGGCCTTTGTTCATGAGCAGGGTAGAGCTGATTCATCTGTCTGGCAGAACCTGCTCTTGAGGGATGGGATGAAAGCAGCAGCAGTGATCCAGGATAGGAAGGAGGCAGCACAGGATGGTAGGGCCCAAGGAACCAAGAGAAACAACCTTCTCGGGTGGGCTGCCCTAGAAGGCTGTGCACTGAGGCAGAACCATGAAGGAACCAAGCCCAAAACAGAGAGATCCCACAGATCCTCCATTTGAGCTGGCTCATGATGCCAAGGGAAGCAAGAAGGAGGTCACTGGAACACATTCTGCTTAACTCTCCAATTATGCATCAAGAATTCAGATCAGAGCGGTAGTAGAGAAGAAAGGCTGGCCCAGGAAATAGAGCTGGGTTTAGATCTCCTAACTCCAACTTCGTGTAACTTTGAGCCAGTTGCTTTTCTTCATGTTTTCTATTTGCAAAATGAAAATAAAAGTATATTATATAAAGTCTCAAGTTCCTTTAACAGCTAATATTCTGTGCTTCTATATAATGTATAAACTCAATTTAGAAAATAGTAGTGATGCTTGGGTCATAGACAGGCTAATTCCAGGGCATGTCATGCTGTATCTTTTCACCATTTAACATTTTTTGATTAGCATGTGACAATTGTACTTATTTATGATGTTCAAGTTATATGTCAACACATGTATAGAGCATTACTGATCAAATCAAGAGAATTAACATTTCCATTTCCTTATCATTTCTTTGGAGCCTTTGAGCTACTCTCTTCTAGTTTTTTTTTAAGATTTTATTTTATTTGAGAGGTAGAGTTACAGACAGTGAGAGGGAGACAGAGAGAGGTCTTCCTTCCGTTGGTTCATTCCCCAATTGGCTGCAATTGTCGAAGCTGTGCCGATCCAAAGCCAGGAGCCAAGAGCTTCTTCCAGGTCTCCCACGTAGGTGCAGGGGCCCAAGGACTTAGGCCATTGTCTACTGTTTTCCCAGGCCATAGCAGAGAGCTGGATTGGAAGTGGAACAGCTGGGACTAGAACCTGCACCCATATGAGATGCTGGCACTGCAGGCGAAGGATTAACCTACTGCACCACGGCGCTGTCCCCCACTCTCTTCTAGTTTTTCATAAAATGTATGACAGATTCTTGTAACCTATATCTACCCCCTTCACTGTGGAACACTAGCACTCATTCCTTCTCACTGTGTTATCCAACATCCCTCCATCCTCTTCTCTACACCCACTTCCCACATAAAAGAAAATAAAAACATCACTTTTGTTTATTTGTGGGCCAGCAAGTCAGAAAACAGAATGGGACTTTGAAAAGGGCTACAGATAATCTCATGAAGACAGCGATGCTATTACCTGGAACTTGACCTCCAGTTTAAGAATGGGCAAGTCTGCCCCAGCTGAGAGCTGTAGGAGAGGCAAGCCTCCCTCCATAGTCTCCAGATTGTCCAAGGCCTCCCGGGTGTTATCAGCCTCCTCTAAAGGACTGCTCAAAAAAATCACATTGTCGTTTGTCTAGCTGCATGGTAAAAACCGCTGTGCCCTCTGAAAGTTACATCAGGAAAATTATGGTCTCAAGGCACCATGGCAAAGCCAACAGGGGAGCAAGCAGGTTGGGTTAGTGAGAACTGCAGTCAGCAACCATGTTCAAGGCCCAGATTTGTGTGATCTTGTGCAAAATAACTTCTTTAGGGTAAGGAGAACCTTAGTTGCTTCTATTGTAAAAAATCTGTAACCTAAATCTAAGCAAAAATATATTACAATCAAGGAGAAGTAATTTATTCGGTTGCTCCCTCCTCATGGTTGTTTTATGTCAGTGAATCTAGATTCTCGATACTATTATTCCAAAAGTATGTGTGTGTGAACATACTGTGTCCAGCATGATTTCAAATGAGGGATGAGAATCAAATTAAACAACCAAATGACTGATGCAGATATTTAAGTGTTATATTAGTTTTTTCCCCCTAATTCTTGACAGGTGTGTCCAACAGAGAGCATGGAAGAGGCTTTCCTTCTCAACCAGACTTCCTTTGTGACCTATTTTCGGCTTAGAGGTTTATCTGTAAATCAGAAGGTGCAGCTGGCTGCCTTCTCCATGTTCCTCGTTTTCTATGTCCTGACACTGATGGGGAACGTCCTCATCATCATAACCATTGTCTGTGACCGCAGACTCCACACCCCCATGTACTTTTTCCTCAGCAATCTGTCCTTTATCGACGTCTGCCACTCCACTGTCACTGTTCCCAAGATGCTGGTGGACACGTGGTCAGCGGGGAAGTTCATCTCCTTTGGTGCCTGCGTGACCCAGATGTTCTTCCTGCACCTCTTTGCCTGCACGGAGATCTTCCTCCTCACCGTCATGGCCTACGACCGGTACGTGGCCATCTGTAAACCCCTGCAGTACATGACAGTGATGGACTGGAAGGTGTGTGTGCTGTTGGCGGTGGCCCTGTGGACGGGGGGCACCATCCACTCCATAGCCCTCACCTCCCTCACCATCAAGCTGCCCTACTGTGGTCCTGATGAGATTGACAACTTCTTCTGCGATGTCCCTCAGGTGATCAAACTGGCCTGCACAGATACCCACATCATTGAGATCCTCATTGTCTCCAACAGCGGGCTGATCTCCGTGGTCTGTTTTGTGGTTCTAGTGGTGTCCTATGCAGTCATCCTGGTGAACCTGAGACAGCAGCTCTCTGAGGGCAGGCAGAAGGCCCTGTCCACCTGTGCTGCCCACCTCACTGTGGTCACACTCTTCCTGGGACATTGCATCTTCATCTACTCCCGCCCATCCACCAGCCTCCCAGAAGACAAGGTGGTGTCTGTGTTTTTCACTGCTGTCACCCCTTTGCTGAACCCCATCATCTATACCCTTAGGAATGAAGACATGAAGAATGCTTTGAACAAGTTAATGGGGAGGCAGAAGAGACAGGCAGAAAAATGAAAACGTCTAAGCCCTTGGGATGCTGGTGCAGAGAATAAATCAAACAGCACATGCATCAGACTATATGACTGACAAAGTTACTCTCCAGCCCAATATCTGACAATTACATCAAAAGGAAGATTACTTAATTCTTGCAACAGTCCTGGTATAGTTACTACACTTGTCTGTACAAAAACCAACTAGAACCCAGAGAGAGTAAACAGCATGTGCAACGTCACCAGCTAGGAAGTGGGGGAAGGAGGATGTGGACTCAAATGTATGAACAAAAATTCAACCAATTTTCATCACATCATGCTGCCTCTCCGTGCTTTTTTGCCAGGATTGATAATCAAGTCCTAAAGAAGCCGTCAGATTTCTGGGCAGTCCTGGCCTACATCACCCACTCAGGTTCTTGGCTAAACAGTTTAGCAAACACTGGTAAATTAGACAAAGTGAATACACAGGTGAGTTTGGTGACAAAGAAACCCTGAACCACTGAAGTTATTGCTACTCTAAGGTGTCCTGGAAAGATCCGCCCTTAGAGCAATGACATAGGGGTGTTTTATTACTCATTCATTTGACAAAATTTGACTGAGTACTTATTATGTGTGAGGTACTAGAGTAATAGGTTTTTTTTTCTTTTTCATTTTTTTTATTTAATAAACGTGAATTTACAAAGTGCAACTTTTGCATTGTTGTGGCTTTTCCCGCCCCCAACCTCCCTCCCTCTAGCAGCCCTCACCTCTCCCACTCCCCCACCCATCTCACCCTTCATCAAGTTTCATTTTCAATTATCTTTATATACAGAAGATCAACTTAGTATATACTAAGCAAAGATTTCAACAGACTGCACTCACACAACCACACAAGATACAGAGTATTGTTCAACTAGTAGTGTTATCTTTAACTCTCATAGTAAAACACATTAAGGACAGAGATCCTATGTGGGGAGCATGTGCCCAGTGACTCCTGTTGTTGATTTACCAATTGACACTCTTATTTATGACGTCAGCAATCACCCAAGGCTCTTGCCATGAGCTGTCGAGGCTATGGAAGCCCCTTGAGTTCACCAACTCTGAACTTGTTTAGTCAAGGCCACATCACAGTGGAGGCTCCTTCCTCCCTTCAGAGAATGGCGCCTCCCTCCTTGATGGCCTGTTCCTTCCGCTGGGGTCTTGTTCACCATGATCTTTCATTTAGGTTGTTTTTGCCACAGTGTCTTGGCTTTCCATGCCTGTGAGACTCTTATGGGCCTTTTAGCCAGATACAAATGCCCCAAGGGTTGATTCTGAGGCTGAAGTGCTGTTTAGGGTGTTTGCCATTCTATGAGTCTGCCGTGTGTCCTGCTTCCCCTGCAGGATCATTCTCTCCCTTTCAAGTCTTCCTTCATTATTTGCCGACACTGGTCTTATTTGTGAAATCTCTTTGACACTAGGGTAATAGGTTTTTAAAGAGACTCACATAGCCTCTTCCTTCGTGGCATGTGGAATCTAGTGAAATAGAAGCCAAAAATGTGAACAAAATAAGTTTAATCACTACTTTGACAAATTCTGTAAAAGAACAGGACTACTGGAGAGTATGGAAGAGACTATCTTTAGAAGGAGTGATCAAGGAGGGCCTCCGGGAGGAAGTTACCTTAGGCTGAATGAAGATGAGAAAAACAGAGGTGAGGAACATTCTACTTAGAGGAATGGCTGGTGCAAACAGCTGCTTTGGGAAACAGCTTGGCTTGTTCCAAGATGTGAGCAAAGATCAGTGTGTTTAAAACTCAGAATAGAAGGCTGAGAACGGCAAGAGAGTGATGGTGGAGAGGTCGTGAGAACCCTTCTGTGCTTTCTCAGGGAATTTGGAATCTTTTTCAGTCCAATGAGAAGCCACCAGACTGGTCTAAGCACAGAAGTGACAGGATATGATTGGTGTTTTCAGAACATTATTTGTGGGAACAGGTGTTGGTGCAGCAGTTAAGATGCTGCTCGGGACACTCTACCCATACCAGAGTGCCTGGTTCAAGTCCTGGTTCTGCTTCCCGTTCCAGATTCCTGGTTCCTGATAGTGAGCACTTCGGGGGGCAGCAGGTAATAGCTCAAGTACTTGAGCCTCTGCCATGGTGAGAGAAACCCAGGTTGAGTTCCAGGCTCCTGGCTTCAGCCTGGCCCAGTCCCAGCTGTTACAGGCATTTCAGAAATAAACCAGCAGATGGGAGATCTACCCAAGTCTCTTTCGCTGTCATGCTGCCTTTCAAACAAACGAAAATTTCTAAAAATCATATTACTTTGAATGTAATACATAGAATCCATTCAATTAAGCATTGCTAAACCTTTAATAGTCACCCAATATTGCCATAAGAACTAAGAGAAAAACAGAAGGTGACTTCAAAAAAGTTCATGAAAATAGAATTAAAAGATCATTTTAAAAAATCATTTTGGTGGAGCTGATGCTGCGGCGAAGTAAAGCCTCCACCTGCAGTGCGAGAATCCCATATAGGCACAGGTTTGTGTCCCAGCTGCTCCACTTCCAATCTAGCTCTTGACTAATGGCCCGAGAAAGCAGTGGAAGATGGTCCAAGTCCTTGGGCCCTCTACATCCACATGGGAGACCCTGAAGAAGCTCCTGGCTTCGAATCAGCCCAGCTCCAGCCATTGAAGCCATTTCAGGAGTGAACCAGTTGCCGGCGCCGCAGCTCACTAGGCTAATCCTCCGCCTTGCGGCGCCGGCACACCAGCTTCTAGTCCCGGTCAGGGCGCCGGATTCTGTCCCGGTTGCCCCTCTTCCAGGCCAGCTCTCTGCTGTGGCCCGGGAGTGCAGTGGAGGATGGCCCAAGTACTTGGGCCCTGCACCCCATGGGAGACCAGGATAAGTACCTGGCTCCTGCCATCAGATCAGCGCGGTGCACCAGCCGCGGCGGCCATTGGAGGGTGAACCAATGGCAAAAAGGAAGACTTTTCTCTCTGTCTCTCTCTCTCACTGTCCACTCTGCCTGTCAAAAAAAAATAAAAATAAAATAAAATAAAATAAAAATTATAATAAAAAAGTGAAACCAGTTAATTCAGGAACTCAACAGCTCTGAAATTATGTAAATCTAAGCAATCTTTAAATATTTATCTTATAAATTCTGATTTCTACTTTATTGAATATCATTTATTTTTTTCTTCTTAAATATTTATTTGAAAGGCAGCATGACAGAGAGAAACAGAGATCTACCATCCACTAGTTCACTCGTGAAATGGCTACAATGGCCTGGGCTGGGCTAGACCAAAGCTAGGAGCCCAGAATTCTATTGAGATATCCCATATAGAGAGAAAGGCAGAGAGATAGAGAGATCCTCCATCTGATGGTTCACTCCCCAGATGGCCGCAATGGCCAGAGCTGGACCAATCCTAGCCAGGAGCCAAGAGCTTCTTCTGGATCTCCCATGTAGATGCAGGGGCCCAAGTACTTGGGCCATCTTCTACTGCTTTCTCAGGTGCATTAGCAGAGAACTAGATGGGAAACGGAGAAGCTGGGACTTGAACCAGTCCCTAAACGGGATGCCAGCATCAGAGGCAGTAGCAATTTAATGCTCTGAGCCACAACACAGGCCCCTAATACTACCATTACTTATTTTCTGATATTTTAAGTTGCCATAAATAACATTTTTAGAAAATAGAGGAAGAGGGGCTAGTGCTGTGGTATAGTGGGTAAAGATGTTGCCTGCAATTGCCAGCATCCCATATAAGTGCCAGTTTGAGATGTGGCTGCTCTACTTCCGATCCAGCTCTCTGCTATGGCCTGGGAAAGCAGCAGAAGATGGCCCAAGTCCTTGGGTCCCTGCACCCTCGTGGGAGAACCAGAGGAAGCTCCTGCCTCCCATTTTCGGCCTGGCCTAGTTCAGTTTGTTGTTGCCATTTGGGGAGTGAACCAGCAGATGGAAGATCTCTCTCTCTCTCTCTTTCTCTCTCTCTCTCTTTCAAATAAATAAATAAATCTTTAAAAAAAGAAAAGAAGATAGAGGAGGAACAGACAGTGTATTTTTGCCACCATTCACTTCATTTATTTTGTTAATGGTAAAAACCATATAGAAATCTCAAGAACATTAGGTAAAAGCTTTGGGTCTGAAGGATTGGGAAAGGTTGTGTGGTTATTTTCTAGATTTTGTATATTCAAAATGTGGTCTTAGGACCAGCAGCATCAGCATTGCCTGGATGCTTGTTAGAAATGAAGAATCAGGGAGCCAGCATTATAGCATAGTGGGTTAAGCCACCACCTGCAACACCATCTTCCCATATAGGCACCAGTTTGAGTCCCAGCTGCTCCACTTTCAAACCAGCTCCCTTTTAATGGCCTAGGAAAAGCAGTGGAAGATGGTCCAAGTGTTTGGGCCCCTGTCATCCATGGGGGAAACCAAGAAGCTCCTGGCTCAGCCCTGTGCATTGCAGCCACTTGGGGAATGAACCTGCAGATGGATGATCTCTCTGTGTCTGTCTTTTCCTTTCTCTGTAACTCTTTCAAATAAATAAATCTCAAAAAAAGAAAAAGAAGAAGACTCTCAGGCCCTGATCCAGACCTACTCAATCAAAATCTGCATATTAAAAAGATCTCCAGATAAGATGATTTTTATGCTCAGTATTTAATATACTACTCTAGCCACTGTGGTTTGTGGGATGAAAGAAATCACTGTTAAAAGATTCAGGTGGCGAGATTGACACCAGAATTTAGTTTAACAGACTCAGGCACTCAAAAGGAAAATAGTGGCCAGCATCCAGGTGTGGATTGATGGCACTTCATTCTAGCAGGATATTTTAGGTACCTGTGGTTTTTAATTCTCTGACATCCTGGCAAACCAATCACTACATAAGGCACAACATTCTAAGAGTCATATCTTGTTACTTTACGGAGATGTAGCCATTCCAAAAAAGGAGAATTCCTGCTTTTTTAACTGACATCTTGCAAGGCTGAAGCTGTCAAATTTTACCATGAAACTCAAGGACAAGAAGAAGAAAGATGCTGAAAACCCAGCCAAGAAAGATGAAACCCCATGAACAAGTCTGAAAGCAAGGCCAAAAAGAAGAAGTGGTCCAGAGGCAAAGTTCGGGACAAGCTCAATAACCTGGTTTTGCTGGACAAAGGTACTTAGGAACTTCCTTACACAGTCTGTCCTAACTATAAGCTCCCAACTCCAGCTGTGGTCTCTGAGTGAAAATTATTGGGTCCCTAGCCAGAAGAGCCCTTCAGAAGCTCCTGAGAAGACATCAAATTGGTTTCAAAGCACAGAGCTTGAGTAGTTTTTTTTTTGACAGGCAGAGTTAGACAGTGAGAGAAAGAGACAGAGAGAAAGGTCCTCCTTCTGTTGGTTCACCCCCCAAATGGCCGCTACTGCTGTGCCGATCTGAAGCCAGGAGCCAGGCGCTTCCTCCTGGTCTCCCATGTGGGTGCAGGGCCCAAGGACTTGGGCCATCCTCCACTGCACTCCCGGGCCACAGCAGAGAGCTGGACCGGAAGAGGAGCACCCGGGACTAGAACCTAGCGCCCACATGGGACGCCGGCGCCGCAGGCAGATTAACCAAGGGGAGCCACAGCGCCAGCCCCGAGCTTGAGTAATTTACCAAGGATGGAGATGACATGAACAAGGCCAATTAATTGTACATCTGGA